TTTTTTTTTTTTTTTTTTTTTTTTTTTTTTTTTGAAGCAATACCTTTACCACACTGTCCAAATGAGTGAGAAAATTATATAAATTTTTGTACTGCTGCAGCATTCATGTAAACTTGACAGTTTTTTTGGTAAAATCTCATGAGCACTTCATTACGCAGATAATTCACTTTTTTGTGAAATCAATGATTGTTTGTTTCTTTTTTCAAATTGTTAACTATTTTAGACTTGAAATTATTTGTTTTCACGGTATTTTGAGTGAAAGAAATGTTTTTGTTGTGCCAAAATGCTGTCGTTTTACGTGTTTCTCTAAACTTCTTTGCTTCTCAATAATCTCATCTTTCTTCCCCTGGTCCATGAAAGTTTTTTGAAGAAAATTTATACTTTGCTGCAAATATTATAAGTTTAGCTTTTTAGCAGTTTGACGCTGTGTGTGAATCTCACAGTAGTTATGACCTGTTATTACATCAACAGCACCTGTTTCTTCAGTGGCAAAGAGAAGTTGAAAATTCGGATGCCACTAGTTCCTCACAACAGGTAATACTCTACCCCTTTTTCGTTTTATTCATTTTATGCTGAGATGTTGAAATTGATTCAATTGTTTTAAAATGTGCAAGGCCTTTTTTTTCTCTACTTAAAATCTGCGTTTTCAATCTCTGGAATAAAGATTTCTTTAATAGCTATTAAACTTTTAAAGGGTTGAGGCAGGGTTGATGGGCAAGCAGTGATTAGCTCTTCTGTTTACTCATGTAAAAGAATGATATGGGGTTCCATATTGCATGTTGTCATTTTATATCTTTATATATATGAGGTTTTAGTAATAGAGGATTTATTATTTTAGGATGATTCGTCGAGGCAAAATTCTAACGAGCTACCCTGTGTTGTCGTGCCTCCCCAAACTTCCCTTCAACCAGAAGTAAATTATCAGTTGACTGGTGAATATCAAGAATCCAGTAGCTATCAGAATACCATTTCTCCAACGGTAGCGGCAGAAGTTGCACACTCTACCGTTTCGACTTCACTTGTAGATGGTGAAAGGCCGAAAACGAAGCTGTCAGACTACCGTGTTCAAGATCTTAAGAATGAGTGCAAGAAACGACAGCTCCCGGTTTCTGGTCCAAAACCGCATTTAATTGAACGGCTGAAGCCGTATGAAGACGATATTTTAAATAACTCTAATGCACTAAACATTCAAGAACTGACTGTTGATTCGGTCATTGCACCTTCACCTGCTTCTGATACATCGACAGGTTCTAATCGACTACCTCCAATCAGTAATGTTATAAATGATTACATTCAGCAGAATGTTTCACAGCATCCAATTACAGTTGCTCAACAACAACCTGTTTTAGTACAGATCCCAACGGCTTCTCAGCAGCAAGTCTTACACGTATGTAAATGCGATTTTCAATGAGTATTTTCTGGGTTTCGCCCGATGAGTGGACGATTATTGGTCTTTGTTTATTTGTTAACTTTTCAGTTAGTAGATTCGAATGGAGCAATAATTGCAAACACCGCAGTGCCTTCAAATATGCAATGTTATTGTATTTCTTCTGATTACGGGACGTCTACAGACTCGACGGTTGGTGGAACAAGAATAATGGCTGCTGATCAATTGCGATCGGAAGGGTCTCAGTCTACTACAGTGCAGTATGTCAGTAGTCAGCCACAACCAGTTGTCTCAGCTGCGGAGCCCACATTTAGCTTTGCTCAGCTGGGATCTGGAGGACAAGTTAGTGCTCTGTGCAGCAATTTGAAAAACTTCGCTTTTTTTTACAAACTAATATTTGGTTTTTGATGGGTTTCTTACTGAAATTCCGAAGAAAGTAAAATTTAAGGCGTTCATATAGGATTTAATTTTTTTTGTTTGTTTTAAATTGCCAAAGCTTTTTCGACTAAAACTGGTGTAAGACTGTTACTGTGCTCTACCGTTTGTCTGGTGTTTGTTTATCATATTTCTCGATGCAGCTGTCACTTTGACTATATTCTCACAAACTTAGAATTTCTTAATAACTTGGACGGAAGAAAATTTGAATAACATAAATTTTGAGGGAATTGTGTTGGTGTTTGGTTTTTGTATTAAGCTTTGAAAAGTTCAAAGGCGTTGTTAAGAGTTTGTTCAGCTCGAACTGCTGCTTTAGACATTCTCTATTAAGTTTTTGAGTAGTTTGTGAATTTATGGTTTTTACTGTACCAAAGCTTGTTACTCTACCTTCCTGGAGTAGTGCTTTTTTTTCCATCTTCTGACAAAAAAGTGAGATATTCCTCTTCATTTGGTGCGTATTTGAGAATTAGATTTATACAGGCGTATCTTTGTTGACAGTCAAAAATGCATTCGTTTTTAACTTTTGGTAACCATTTAGAAAATTGGACTATTTCAGAATTTAAATCTGATAAAAAAATTTGATTGGTTTTCTTTTCCCATTTTTTGTGGAGAAGGCATTTATCGGCTACTTAATTATTTTCTTTTACAGTTTACTCTTGTTCAAGCATCGTCGTCAACAGATTTTCAACCGCGGTCTACAACTGCAGAAGTGTCGCAGAGTTCTACACAGTGTGTCCAGACAGGATCACAACAGATAGTTCATGTTTGCAGTCAGTTACAACCTGCATCTGGTGCAGCGCAGCAAACACAGCAAGGTCAGCCGTTGCAGAGTGTTTCAACAACGACTATACCGATTGTCTCCACTAATGGCTGTCATTTTGGCCGGTCGGTATTAGCAAAAGCTGTAGGGCAACAGTCACAAACAGTGACTATTACGCCTGGTCAAACGGTACAGCAGCAACTGCACCAGCAACATCAGACGCAGCAAATTGTAGCGCAACCTCAAATTGCTACAACAGTAGCTTTCAGTCAGAAATCTCACGTGCCTTACGTACAATACGTCTTAAAAACCAATGGAACTCAGCATGTCGTTCACCAGGTTTTGTATTATTTCTATGCTCAGTCCTCCTACTATCTGTTAGCAGTTCCTAGCTCTGTTAAGTTGGCTTCAGTAGAGCTTCAGAATTAATTTTCTTTTTTAAAATTCAATCTTTTAGGAAGTTACACCAGTTTCTCAACGTGCATTATGCCCTCCTATGCAAGCAGCATTACCATCTGCTGAATGCTCACCCATAGTTGCTGATTCTGCCTCTGAGAGTTCAAGCGTCCCATCGCCACAAGAAGCTTATAATAAAGCAACCTCCCAGCAAGATCTTCATCAAATAGCCGTTGACCCGAATGATACGAGTGCCTTGTCAGTGTTTAGGCTTTCAGGGGCGTTATTTAACTTCACTTTTACGTGAAATCATCTTTAGGATGCACCTTAGTTAATTGCGAACAATACTCATATAGTAAATCTTTTAGACTTTCGGCGACGACATTGTCGATACATGAAGAAATGCTACGTTACCAGCAGAGAAAAATTGATGAACTTCAGAAAGAACTTCATTGTTCTCAACAGCAGTTAAGGCATCAACAACGGGTCATATTGGCTGCAAAAAAAGCACAGGTGAGCCTTTCATTTATTTCTAAAAAGAAATTATAAATTTGACAGCTGTTATAATCTGTTTCTCTTTTTCAGCAGAAAAAGAGGCAGGAAGCTTACCAGCATGAGGGAAATGACGATCAAAAATCGCAAGCCGAAGTTTGGCTTCGACAGTTGGATATCAGCAAGCTGCACAAGTTCCACATCCAGCGTTTTGTACAACACAAACAACAGCTGCAG